TTCTTTCATTGCAGTGTGTCGCTCCTTGGATATACGCAACTCTCCGAGCGAATTAAGTCAACTACGCAATTGCACGGTCATAGAGGGTTTCCTACTCATCACACTCATGAATCAACACAATACGCAGGAATTCACACAAACCTTTCCGCTGCTTACCGAAGTCACGGAATTCATCATCATCTATCGGGTGCACAATTTACGTTCGCTGTCGCAAATCTTCCCCAACTTGAGTATTATACGCGGCACGACACTGTTCGAAGGCTATGCGCTCATCGTCTATTATAATCCGCATCTAGAAGATTTGGGCCTATCCAAGCTGACAACGATATCGCGTGGTGGTGTGCGCCTCGAGAACAATATTGTGCTCTGCTATGTAGAGACAATTGCGTGGAAGCGAATTGTTAACAGCGACGCGGAAATAACCATTGAGGTGAGTTCGCATTGAGGCAACTTCGTTTTTGAGTAAATTTCACAGCTGTTGCTTGCTCTCTAAATTTTACAGAATAACAGCAAATTGATCGAGTGCCCCAAGTGTCCGGGCGATACAAAGACTGGCAGAGAAGATGGTGGTGACAGCGAGTTGGCTTGCAAGGAATTCGACGGACAAAGACGGTGTTGGAGCAGTAAAAAGTGTCAGAAGAGTAAGTGGTATAAGCGGCAATTAGAATATTTAGGAATTAATAAAAATTCCAAAGCATTTTATATTTGTGTTTACCACGACATTTTTTTTTTATCTCATTCACAGTTTGCCCTGATCACTGCAAAAACAACTGTGTGAATGAGCACACCTGCTGCAATGAGAACTGTCTGGGCGGCTGCTCTCCCACCAACTTGAATGAGTGCATCAGCTGTCGTGACTTCTCCATCTACAACAACACCTGCATCAGTCAGTGTCCCAAAAATTACTTCAGCGTAAGTTTAAATCTTTTCAACAAAACGTACCAAAAAACTTTACAGAATCCAAAATATTTATACTAACCAATACTTGCAGTACTTGGATCGTCGTTGCCTCACCGCTGACGAATGTATTGCCATTGGCACCAAATTCGAGAACAATAAGCCGCAGATCATTGTGCCTTATGATGGTAAATGCTCCACTCGTTGCCCGAACGGCTACAACAAAATCGGCTCGACGTGCATGGCATGCGGCGACAACTGTGTGAACAAGTGCGATGGTGCGCTGATCGACAGTGTGGAGCGTGCTAAGGATTTCACCGGCTGCACGCACATTGTCAAGAATGGACTGACTATTAGCATAAAGCGTGGCGGAAGTAAGTCACAGTAGAAGACGTGGAACGAGCTTGTATGTATATGTATTATATTTTTTCGATTCTCTTTTTAAAGAACATTTGATGGAGGAACTGGAATCCGGATTGTCGTCTATACAAGAGATCAGCACATTTCTGAAAATACAAGGCACTTATGGTTTGACTTCGTTGTCATTTTTGAGGCATTTGAAGCGCATTAAGGGCACTGAGCTCGATGAGAATAAGTAAGTGGGCACAAGGGGAGATCATCTTCGACAAAGCCCTTATTTATTGAAATAAATCTTCTCTTCATCACTTTCCAAGATTTGCCATCTATGCACTTGAGAATAATGACCTCGAATCACTTTGGGGCCCCAATCAGACGGTGACCATTGAAAAGGGGCGTGTATTCTTTCACTTTAATCCAAAACTGTGTTACGATGAGATTGAAAAACTATTACCGATGATGAAAGAAAATGCGACGTTCGATAAAAATGAGGTGGCCAGGGATTCCAATGGACATAAGGGGTCATGTGAGTGCTTGAATATCCACCATTTCGACTGAAAACTATTAAATATTCAAAGCAATTAACAAACAAAAAAAAAAAAAATAACTGTACTTACTTGCAATGCATTTCTCTGAATTCTAGGTAACACAGAACAACTGAACGTTACCATCGCGAAAGTGTCGAGTCGAGTTGCGGTTGTGAGAATCGAAAATCCATTGGTATTTGATGACAATCGAACTTTTATTGGTTATCAATACTTTTACATGGAGGATAAGTACAAAAATGCCACCAAGTATTCACAGCGCATCTGTGATGATGGGTAAGTCAGGATATTTGTTCATTGATGTGTAACGTCTTTCTATGCTATTGTATTTGAATAAATGTTGCATATCAATGTCGATAAAAAATATTCTTATATGTAAGTATGTATGGACATTAGGGTGCCGCACCAAAAAATGGAGCCGTTTTTCCACCGGAACTATTCAATTTATTACATTTAAAGACTGAGCAGGGCAAATTTGAAAAATCTATTTTTTTTATTAAATTAGTTTTTGAAACTATTTTCCAAAAAATCACAGCAGATGATAGCAGAGTTTTAGCATTTTATCAAAGCAATAAAAAATGAGATTTATGGAGTTATTTTCAAATCGGTCCGGCACTCGAAAGGCTAATATTTTTGCGAAATATTTAGTCGAAAATCTTAAAGTATAATAAATTTCATAATTCCGAATTTTTTGTACGGATAGTGATGCATACATACGAATTCGTGTGCAAGACAAATGTCCCAAAACATCGAACTTTAATGGTTCCAGCGATAGCCACTTTAAAATATTCGCATATTCTTGTAGAAATTCAAAATTGAATTCAAATTCAAAATTATTTTTTCTTTTTTTCTATAGTTGACTATATATGTAGTCAATATAGACCATTCCAGCGAGAAGTCTTTAGTTATTTTTGTACTAAAAAAACATTTTTACTAAAACAAATATGAATATGCATCTACTTACATATTTAAAAACGTTCCATAGGTGGATTGTGAGTGACCCCACCAAGGAGACCCAATACATTTTCATAAATCTGCAACCATTCACACAGTATGCGTACTACGTGAAAACCTGGACCATATCCTCGGAGAAGCGTAACGCACAAAGTAATATACAGCATTTCAAGACGAAATCTGCGCAACCGAAATTCGTGCAGAGCCTAAATGCCTACTCAATATCAAGCTCAGAAATCGTAAGTAATGTCGTAATTAATTGGTTGGCGATAGCCCCCAGCCTAGCCTTAGTACCTTTGAATTCACCTTAACTTACTTACCTAAAGAGCGCACTAAATGGTTATGTGAATATCTCTCTAGGCAATTACATGGACACCACCTGCCAATCCTCAAGGCAATCTGATAGTATATCGCGTACATGCATCGCTCGACAAACGCAGTCAAGTATTGGACTCACGCAACTACTGCAAAGATCGTAAGTGATTCTTATTTGTAGCTAATTAACTTAATTAATACATACGTGTTCTTCTTCTATAATAATATAGCTGCACAAATCGACAAAGACGATGATGCCAAGGACCCCACGCGCGAAAGTCCAGGTGGTGTCACGGAACCACCAAACGCCGCCAACTGCAAATGTGATGCCGAAAAATCGCCAAATCACAGCGACATCGATACCAGCGAGGCGACTATTGTTGCTGGCATTGATTTCGAGAATACTCTGCAAAATTTTATTTACGTGAAGTGAGTTGCCAAAGAAAATAGCAAATTTCTTACTGCTATCGTAAGCAATTTCAGAAACTATATCTTATTCGTTTTTTTCAAAACACAGGCATACAAACGAGTCAAAGAAATCAAGGAGCAGCAGCGACGACGACAGCAAAGCCTCACTCACCGATATGGATGCTAAACGACGGCGGCGACGTCACAGTGAAGGTGCACCCGAGGATAGTTTTCTTGTACGCCATATGCGCGCCGTGCCCGATCATCTGGAAAACGTCATACTGAAGATTACCGCCGAGAATGGAAACACAGGCGATGCCAATATTATAACCACAGTTGCGCCGATTGAGACTACCACACACGTCGGCAGTGCCAACAAAACGTCGCCCAATAACGAGGCACGCATGGATGCCACCGGGCAATACTATGAGAATATCGTGCGAAATATTTCGGTTGCCACTACTAAATATGTGTTCGAAAACCTCAAGCATTTCTCCGTCTACATGATCGGCGTCGAAGCATGCCGTGAGCCCGAGTTGGGCGCCACCGAGAAAGAGTGCAGTGATGTGCGCACGAGTTTTGTGCGTACGAAAAAAATGGGTAAGTGTAGTGTGAAATGTAATTTGAAAAAATTTATTCCATGAATTGCATAACCTCATTGCAGAGGGCGTGGATAAGGTACAAAACCTGCGTGTTGACTTAGTGCCCACGAATTCGACGCGAAGTGATGTGCGCGTGCGTTGGGATCCTCCCGAAAATCCCAATGGTGATGTGGTTTCCTACACGATTTCCTATAAGAAATCCGAGCAAGATGCAGTCGAAGAGAAGCGTTGCATCACAGAAGTGTTCTATCGCAACTTGACTAACGGTTACATAATGCCATTGCCGACCGGCAATTACAGTATTAGGGTGCGCGCAAACTCACTGGCCGGCGATGGTGTTTACTCGGAAGTTGTTTACATTGACATTCCGGTAAGTGTCCACCCTAAAGTCGACTTGGTTTCATACTCAACATAACTCATAACTTTCTTCGTCTCGAATTATAGCCCGAAAAATGGTCTGGCGCTTTGATTGCCGGCATTTGCTTTGGAGTCATTGGTGTGCTCTTGTTGATGGGTGGCGTTTACTGGTATGTCCGACGAAAGTACGCACCGCCAAACGACATCAAAATCATCCCCACCGTCAATCCGTACTACATTAGTCTGCAATACGTACAAGACAGTTGGGAGGTGGAACGAGATCGAGTCATACAATTAAGTCCACTCGGTCAAGGCTCTTTCGGCATGGTCTACGAAGGTATACTCAAGGGTGCAGACAATAGTCAGGCAGACATGCCGTGTGCCATTAAGACTGTCAACGAAAATGCTACCGATCGCGAGCGTATTAATTTCTTGAGCGAGGCCAGTGTCATGAAGCAGTTCGATACGTATCACGTAGTGCGGCTACTCGGCGTCTGTTCGGTTGGACAGCCAGCGCTTGTGGTAATGGAGCTGATGAAGTTCGGTGATTTAAAGTCATATTTACGTGCACACCGCCCCGATAGCGTGCAGGGTGATGAAATGCCGTTTAGGTACCGCGAAACTGGCGTACAACCGCCACCATTAAGTCGTGTCTTCCAGGTCAGTTTCTTTGCAAGCCCTGTACTAATTTCTTATTAAACTCTTCATATCAACTTCGCTCAGATGGCCATTGAAATTGCCGACGGTATGGCTTACTTGTCAGCCAAGAAGTTTGTACATCGTGATTTAGCGGCACGCAACTGCATGGTTGGCTTTGATTTGACGGTGAAAATTGGCGATTTCGGCATGACTCGCGACGTCTATGAGACTGATTACTATCGTAAAGGAGACAAAGGTGCGTTGTCGCAATTGTAAATACGTACATGCATGTATTCCCTTTTTTACCATCCTCACATATGTATGTATGTAGGTCTGTTACCAGTTCGCTGGATGCCACCGGAAAGTTTACGCGATGGCATCTATTCCACTGCCAGTGATGTGTTCAGTTATGGTGTGGTGCTTTGGGAGATTGTTACACTTGCATCACAACCATATCCCGTAAGTTATTGAGTATTACACAAGTTGCAGCATTTGAAGCTAAACGAAAACTTTACAAATCCAGGGCTACTCGAATGATCAAGTGCTGCGTTTTGTCATCGAGGGGGGCGTTATGGAACGCCCCGACAACTGTCCAGACAAAATCTATGAAATTATGCAACAATGTTGGGAGCATCGTCCCTCGAAGAGACCGTCCTTCTTCAAGATTATACGCATGCTAATGGACCATGTGCACACGGACTCCGAAGGATATCTTTCTCACTTCCGTGAAGTGGCCTACTACTTCTCCGATCATGGTATACAGGAACGTGAAAAAGAGCGAGCTGGTGAGTGAACAATGGTGCAGCATCTTATTATAGAAATCAATTTCAAATTATACCTCTTCTTCTTCTATATCTGAATGATTTGGTAATATTTTCCCCGTTTTTTTTTTTGCTTATTTCCGCTTTCCAGAGAGCATGCACACATCTGGTGATATTTTCAGTGAAGAGAACGAAATCGACGATGCTACCACTCCGTTGCGAACAGATGAATTCAATGAATATAAACTCAATTTGGCCAATACTTCTTCGGTAGAACATGGTGGCGAAAGCCCCATGGCGATTGACGATGATCATCCCCACTCTCCATATAGGTGAGAGCATGCCAAGCACCATTAAATTTTTTAGGTAATTTTTAGGCTATGAACAGAACCAATTTCTATAGTATGATTCCCTGAAAGCTAAGTCCGAAAACCAAGTTTAAGCCTTGTATGTTTATCGAAATAAATTAAAAACTGGTTATTTTTTTTACATAATTTTAGTTAAATGACATTCTTGAGTACATTGCTAAACATTAATTTATGCGGTAAAAAATTGCAAATTTACCAAAAAAAAAAAAAGTGAAACGCCAAGATATTTAAAATATATACAAAACGAAATTTGAACCCTTACACCAATTGGAAATTGTTCGGTTATAGCCCAAAAATTACATAAACTACGTTACGTTATATATATATATATATATATATATAGATTTTACTTTAATACTTAAATACGTAAGCTCGTAAAAGACAGACAATTGCGAGTTTATTTATTACGCATTGCATGTACGGTACCAGCCTTCGCATTGAGTACTTGTCCCATCTAATATTTGTTCAATCACACCGAGTATTCATAAGGCAGTAGGGTTACTTAAAATTACCGAGGCTGTCCTCATTTAATTCATTTTCATCTCATCCGCCTAGCATTTTCCTCCCTATTAGTTGTTCAATATTTTACATACATACATACATTAATACATATGTAGACAGTACTTACATGCATTAAAGTGTCCCGACCTTCAACAAATTTTCTCAATCAACTCCATATTTAATTTTATTCTTGCATCGCAGCCATAGCCTTGGCTCGGCCAACATTGTCAGCAGCACCCCAGACGGCCAATCGAAGAACAGCTACAACTTCTCGCAAATGTCACACAATAACCAAACACTTCTTAGTTCGGTGCCTTCAACATCAGCGGGCATTGTCAGCGGTGGCTCTCATTCGCATTCACGTTCACATCCGCTACAACAACCGGCTTCTCTTCGTCAGCCACGCTATAGCCAGTTTCCCACTGAAGAGGCTGCTGCCAATTATGTCCTTCCCGACTATGATCCGCGCACTGCGTTCGATGGGAAGAATGCACGTCAGGGTCCAATGGCCAGCGGTAGCGTTGAAACCGACGAGCGCGGCTATGAGATGTACGATCCCAGTCCAAACTACCGCGAACACGTGCCATACGATCCGACTTTAGATGAAGAAGATTTTGATGGTTTGCCAATGGGCGGGCACAATACCCGCATCGGCAGCGGTGGCCAGCAGTTACTGCCTCGCAGTAAACCTCGACATCGCATGCCCACCATAATGCCAATGTCCAGCTCAATGCCCGATGAAATGATTGGTACACCGATTTCCTCCTCATTGCATCCGTCCACAGCTTCGGCGGCTTCGTCAAATGCTTCCTCAACAAACGCGACAGCGGGCCGTTATTCGAGCCTGAAAGCCGTGGCCGATAAGGTGCAGTCCATGCCGTTGCGCTTCAAAAACATCAACCGACGCATCTTCAATCACAAACGCACAGGTAGTAACGCGAGTCACAAGAGCACCAGTTCCAATCCAAATACCGCCACCTCGTCGAGTAGCAATTCCAACTTGACAGCGGCTACCGTTGGACGCGGCAAAAGTATGAGCGGTCAGAATTTGGGCACAATTGAGAGCGGTGGCAGTGGCAGCGCCAGTAGCTATGTGACGCCACGCTTCTTCACTCCCGCCTCCGATGCAAACACAACGCTCACCAGCGATAATCCAAACTACCGTCTGTTAGATGAGACTGCGAATACATCGTGCCTTTCTGGTGCGGGCGACGCGGCACCACGCGCGCACGGCGCCTTCTCGTCAAGTGGTAATACAAATTACAAGCGCTTAGACGAATCGCTAAATGCAACGTTAACGCCAGGTAAAACTACAAGTGGGACCACCACGACCGGCAGTAGCGCAGCACCACCGCGGCAGCAAATGCCTTCTCGCCAAAATTCCGATTACACTTTGATGGGGGCGGCAGCAACCGATTCCACATTACATACTACTGACAATCCAAATTACGTGGTCATGAATCAGCCATCGGGCCCAACAATGCCACCCACTCATCTGCCGCACACAATCTCCGCCAGTCCGATTGCAACCGCATCCGCACAAACAAGTGAAAATCCCGCCTACACAATGATGGGGCCTGTGCCATTAGGCCCAAGCAAAAATGGATCATCGACATCAACCATCGGAGATGATCCCAAAGATGATGACGACGACGACGACGATGACGACAATGGCGACGAAGATGATGAGCCAACAGTGCATATCAAAATGGAACTGCTCGGTGGCCGACGCCGTGGCGGTGAGCGCACTCAACAATCTCGCAAGGCACGCGGTCATCGAAGTCGCAGCCAAAGTCAGAATAAATTGGATGAGAAGGCAACATCAAAGACCGGCAATTCACCGGCTACCACATCAGCCAGCACCAGTCTAGCAACTGCGGATGAGGGTTGCAGTAGCTATGTGAGTTTAGCGCCAGTGGCAACAACAGCCACTACGATCCCAACCACAGAGTCCCGCCCATCTACGACGTATTCGCTCAAGGAGAAGTGGTTACGACAGCAATCACAGCAGCCACCACAACCACCACCGAATGGTTTCATAGGGCGAGAAGCGTAGTATCGGGCGGTGGCGGCGAAATCCGAGCGCAGAAAGCGGAAGACAAGAAAGCGTACGCTGCCATTATAAAGTGAATGAGGTGTAGCGCAGATTGTGGTGTTCGAAGCAATTGCGAATCAACTGTAAATTCTCGCCGCAACGAAACACACCTACTCGAGAGGGTTATCACGTGCACACCATAAGCCATTTCTATTGTATTTATGTACATATGTAGGTGTATTTGTGCTAATGATATATTTTTTTTAGAGAAATTCAAGAAAGGAAATAAGATTAAGTAATTCAAATACTAAACTGTACAACTCCATTTTGTATGTAATTGCTAAAAGTTTAAGCATCATTTCGCCTATTTTAGGTAAAAAGAGCTAAGATCATTTCAGACGTTCATGAAATTGTATTGCATTGTACTACGAGAAAAAGAAAAAACACAAAAAAAATCTACACATTAATTAACAATTTAATACTTGTAATACTTCATATAAAACATAGTTATAACATAAAATTATAATATGTATAATATGTGCACACTAGTAAAAAACAAAGCATAACTCTGTAAGCAATTTGTTTAAAAAAAAAAAGCATGCAACTTATTTGACAAAGCAGACACTCAAAAGCGGGAAAGCGTAAAGCCTTCGCTTCAGGTGTGTGTTGTTGAAATGAGGTAGGCATGCTGAGAAGACATGTTAGAAAATAAAGACTGCGGAATGCTTGTAGATGCCAATTTATAACTTATTTAGAAAGCACATTCGATGTTCGGGTCTCTTAACATAAAGCTAGAGGAGGCATGAAATGCAGGAAGCGAGATTAGCTAAATACATACATACATACTCTGGTATATGCGAATAATTGTAACAAAATCAAGAAAGGTGCAGGGAACTTTTTATTCATGCACGAGCTATTTGTTGTTGTAGTCCTGTTCGAGTAATTTACATAACTGTGTAAGAAATGTTTTCTGTCACGAAGAGATTCTCAAATTATTCATAAAAACAAACTTTTGATATACCTAGAAAACAGCGGCACCTATTAGAGAAAGCCATTTTGTAACCGGCTCTAACACAAAAAACAACATTTTTGTAGTTGTTGTATTAAGAGCATACAAATTCCCCAGAGTTGTTGGGTTACGTGGAGCTGACTGTCGTGGGAACACAAAAACAATCATTTAATTCGATTATCAAGTATTCGATAAATTGATTTGCAACCGACTGTAATTTCGGACAAATAGTAACATCAACTTGCTTCAGGTATATTCCCGTTGGCGTTGTCGTTTCAAAACGAAATAAAAAAACGTTCTTCTTTCTGAATCCTTATTAAATCCAAAAATTGCAAAAAAAAAAAATATTTGAGTTAAAAGCTTTTTACAAAGTCATTTGAAAATGATTTTTTATGAATAAGTTGCGAAGTTTCGATTGTATGAAAAATTATGAACACAGTTTCAGGAATTATTTGACGAGAGCTACGGCCTGCACTAAGTGACTCGGAAAAGTTAATTTTCACTACTATATAGTAAAATCGCTAAATCGGTTTTTTTGCTCTAACTTCTTTATTTGATGTCCAATTTCTATAAATAACACCTCGTTATAAAGGTACCAAGAAAGCCTACAGTTGTATATGCTGAGCTACTATCATGTCTCATAAACTTTGAATGTTATACGCAATACTATATGTCAAATTATAATCCGTCGGCGAGAAAAATATTAACCCAATTTCATTAAACAACAGCTAAGTAACGGCAATTGTGTAGGAGTTCAATTGTATGATAACAATAACAAGTAAATATTTGTTATTAAATATTTATTTAATAATTAAATTTTTTTCGGAACTCTAGTTGGTTGTGCCGTGTTCGACTATTAAGCTAGAGTGTATTTTTGAGCTTCTTACTACGGATAACAGGGTTTAGTTAAAAAAAAAAAAATTCATAGCGTTTTTAGTTTAACATTCTAGAATAGTCTTTTGTGTGCTTTTTTGATACTTTTACAATTGTGTATCATTTATGGAAATCGAATATCAAATAGATAAGTTATAGAAAAAAAAAACTATTTATGTATATTTATGTATGTTTCAGAGGGTGCCCAAATAAAATGTTTACACTTCTGAAATACCCTCATAGTGAGAGTTCAAAATCGCATGGAACAAATTGAACTTTGTTTTTGTGTTACGGTGTAATGTATTCGAATTTGAGAAGTTCAAAAGCGAATTTTCGATATAAATACATACATATCATCACCTTAATTCACAAAGGCCCTAACCAACAAACTTTTTTTATTTTTACAGGAGAAGCAAAAATCATTATAAAATTATGGGGTTTTTGTTTCTACAAAAAATGTTGCAATCTCATTGCCCTCTTCTTAGTATTTGTGCGTAGAGCGCAAAGAGAACGTTCCCTGTTTTGGTATCAAAAACAGGTAGGGGTTTTTAAAAAGTGGCATGTAACTCCGTTGTTTTCGGTACTAACACTTCAAAATTTTTGTTGAAGGTGTATTTTGTTTATCCTACCTATTTAATATATCCTACCAAAATCTGCGAAAAGCTCAGTTTCGAAAAAAGTGTTTGGGAATTAATGTAACGGTATGTAATTGAAATCTATAGTGAGTTATTAAATTTCATACATATAGACTTAAAATTTTCCGGTACAGGTGTATACCTAAATAAGATTTCTTATACTAAAGTTTATTCCTGAGTCAACTCACCAAATTTCCTCCCATGGCCAATGACCAAGTATGTTCTATATTTAAACTCAATTCGGGGGGCGAAAAAGCGTGCAAAGAAATTAAGAAACAAGTAAACAAACGCTGAAAAAATTAAATGAAGATTATTAAATTTTTTATAAACAACATAACAATTGGTTTAAAATTTGTAAACTAAAATATTGCAAAACTAAATTTTGGAAATAAGCTAAATTACTATTGCTAAATTTAATGTAATTTGTACTTAGAATATTATGCATTATTTGGCTTTGAAAATTTGCGTATACAAACAATAAGTAAATTAAAAAAATAAATAAAATTAAAAAAATCTTAAAATACATACATACATATATTAAAAATTAGAGAGTAGTAATCAAAATTAAAAGAAATTATTAAGAAACATCAGCATATAACTTTAGAAAAATATATATGTAATCACAAGCAAAATGCTAAGCTTAATCAAATTTTACATGTGTACATACATATGAAATTTTACTAAACAATTATAGAGAGAATATTTTGGACATTCATCTTGAAAATGCTAAAATTGTAGCATCCATTGGCACAGTAAATTTATATTATTTGACCATTAACAAAAAAACAAAAAACAATTAAATTATATTACTTCAATTATCAATTATTAGGCCTAAAATTATGAGCGAACTGGTTTATTTGAGTGATTGCCTACGAGCTATGTACATTCATACATACATACATACAAACAAACATGCAGGTTTAGGTAAGAACAAAAACGAAAAACAAATTCACAAAAATTTAAGTACTAAAAATTATATTTAGTATGTATGTATGTATACATACATACATTTATAGCTTTCGGATTAAAAAACTGCTTACATACATTTGCTTTAAATATTGCACACACGCACACATACAAGAAATAATTTTTGTTCCCCAGAGAGTGCTGTAGAGACAGTCCTTGGCCAGATATACATACATACATATGTATATGTACATGGATCTAGGTTACATACATACATATGTGCCCTGACTGTCGTGGGAATGACACGAAATAATTTTCACGCTTTTTTTTACCGAATATTTGTTTCGAAGTAAGATTTCCAAAAATTCACAAAACTATGTAAACAAAAACTTAATACGAATAAAACGATACAGGATACGTAAAAGAAGAGAACACGATTGAAAAATAGTATAGAGTAGTAATTAAATAAACACAGAAAGTACAAATTAAATGTAGGCGCGAATCACAAAAGAATAATAATGCAAATATTGTAGAAAAGCAGTGACAGTAGAATTAAGAAAACACCCGCAGCAAAGCTAAAATATTTAGTAATTTATGTATATGGAATGAAAATAGATTCCCCATACGCAAGGATAATTATATATATATAATGTACTAATAGAATTAAGAAGAACCAAGTGTAAATTCAAAGAGTGTGTAAATAAGCAAAAGAAGACGAAATAAAAAATGGCGATCAAGCGAGAGTTTGCACAGCCGAGCATGCAATACGAAAAAGAAAACTGAAAAGCGATTTAAATTTTATTTCAAAACCAAAAAAAAAAAAAAGCAAAGTTTGCACAAAACTGTTTTGGAGCAGTGAAATTATTTCGAGAAAAGACACAAACGCAGGTAATCGTTGCAATATAATTTTATATCTATTTTTTTTTGTAGCAAAAAAGTAGGCAACCGCAGATCTATTGGGCCTCACGCATAAAAAGGGAGGAGCTCAGACTCAATTTTTGCACTGATGGCGTGTGCTCAAGCTCAAGAATTAGTACTGAAAATCGAGTCGGCGCTTAAGCTCCCCTTCTATGCATGAGGCCTATTGTTAGAGTAAATATTGAATACTTGTTTTCGACGGCAATAGTTTAAAGCAGCGCATAGGCATTTATAAATATATATGTACATGCAAAACTAATACAAATGTTTGAACTAAAATGCAAAAAAATCGATAGTAAGTGTGTGAAGAACATGCATGTTTCCCACGGTAATTATTTAAATTATTTTTTTAAGTAATATTTACCGCTTCTTGAACTTTTTGTTGATCTCGGTCATTATTGCTTGATTTTGTGTATTCTTCAACACGCGGCTTATGTTTTTCACTAATAGTAACTAAAAATTACGAAATTCATAATTCGCTGACCATTAACAAAAAATGTTCTTGATTTGCTTAATATCATTCTAAATTTTTTTAAATAAAAATATTATCATACATACATGCTTTGTTTTCAATCAATTACGTTGTTTTCTAATCATTTAAGCGCTTGAAAGTAGGCACAGCAAAATTTTTAAAAACTAAAAGTTAAAATCTCTGTCCCAAACACAAAAAATTGAGGCAATAGGTCTGAAATTTTAAGAAAAAGTAATTGCTTATTTTTATTCATATGGCCCATTGTTTCTAAGTTTTAGTTTTTCATCAAAAATAGTGATATTATTTTAGAGTTACATTTTTTGATCGAAAATTAAATTCATTTCGTTGGCGGTATTTTATATCTCGGAAATAAAAATGAGTTTTTGAGTTTTATTTTTTTTTTTTTGCAGTACGAAAAACTCAAAATTCCACAACGCTTTTCCGTATCAACATATCGAATTACTCTTGATCGAGGGAGGGAAAATCTCTACGGGCAACGACAACGTCCGTTAACACGGAAATCCCATAAGATTTGCCTTGTCAGCTGACACGATCTCCGATTTAACGTCGGTGGGTAATTCCACCATTAGCAGTAAATTGTGTTTGCCATGCTCTCTTCAACATATCCACTCAAAAATCGCAAAAAATTGATCAGCCGTATTTTTTTATTAATACAGACATACATAGCACTCTAAAATCTAAGCCTCCATCGAAAGAGCTGACTTTGGAAAACTATGTATAAATAATTCGCAAATCAACTCGCATGATTTTTAATAGTTTTAGGTATTGAATACTGTGTTTTCATTTGAAATATTCAACAAGAAAAATTTGCATACATAGTACATATCTACATATGAGCCGTTTATTTCGAAAGTGACAACATAAGTCACTTCACAGCTCTTGTGCTTTAATGACCGGGTACACGGTTAAAAATTTCGGTTTTAATTTTCAACTTTTAGGACTACATATATGACCAAACTAAATTCAGTTTCAAATACAAACCTTCCAAGTTAAAAATAGAGAGCATATATGTTGGGTTTAAACCACCAACTTTTTGGACTAAAATTTAAACCAGAATATATTAGAAATTGCCTAAAACTACTGGCTGGTTTAAAATGTAAACTATAAAAGATTAAAAAAGACAGTAGTCCCAGCGCGGTTTAAAAATTAAACCCAAATTTTTTACCGTGTACTTGTGTATATCTGAACGTGTCGGTTATTCGTTCAACTTCATCAACCAAAGGTAAAAGGTTTTGCCATTACTTTAGGATAGTAGAACGATTTACAAGTAACCGGATATTTATGGGTCGATTATCGATAGCAATCGAACTTCATTTGCGTTGCTAGTTGCCAAAACGATATTACAGATGGCAACTGGCAACTTTCAACTGACAACTGCAGTTGCTACAAAGTGTGTATACAGACAGGCGACTACATTTTTGTGGTGCTGGGAATTTTTTTTGGAGCGTATTTAGGAGCGAAAATTGAAAAGTGTGTCATGTATTTTACTTTTTAATCATTTGAACGATACTAACATTTTGCAATGCAGTTTGCTCTTACAACAAATTTTTTTCTTTATCAACTGAAGCACCTCCTTTAAAACTACCGACACACCAAGTTTTCCAAATTAAAGTCATTGCTGTGGCACTTGTTTCTGCGAAAAATCGAAGAGATGCACAAGCTTCTATGAGTAGAGGTATTGAAGTTGAACATGTGGTTCATTTGTTTATTATTGTGAAAGACCGCAATATGCTTTGAAAATGAACACAAAACGATAATAAAAGAGAAACCTTGAAAACATTAACTTTTTCTTACAGTGCACGCGGTAGCTCTAGAGGATTGGAATTATCCTTTAAATTTCGCCTGATTGAGGCCGAGTTCATACACTCCTGTTCCTCTTAAACAAATAATTGTGATGAATTTAGCTTTATTGCTGTCTTTTCTTTAAAACTATATTTTAATAATTTAATTTTACTCGCACAGCTTGTTTACAGCAGATTGCTGGTTGTCGAACTGTCAAATTTCGATTATCGATAATTCTATAGCAACTGACGATAGTTCCAGTTGCGTTGCCAGCTGGTTGCGTTGCTATGCGTAATCGACCCATTAA